AAAAAAAAAAGAGGTTAGAGTGGGAGAGAGCCAAAGCATAAGAGACTCTTAAAAACTGAGAACAAACTGAGGGTTGATGGGGGGTAGGAGGGAGGGGAGGGTGGGCGATGGGTACTGAGGAGGGCACCTTTTGGGATGAGCACTGGGTGTTGTATGGAAACCAATTTGACAATAAATTTCATATATTAAAAACAACAACAACAACAACAACAACAACAACAAAAGTAAATAAAATAGAAAGTGTTTTAGATGGTTTTTCTATACAACTGTTGTTGAGCACCACTCCCCTAAATTATCAAGCTGATGATCTTCATTATGATTATAAACTCAGATTATATTTTAGGGGTTTTACCTATTTGTTTAGTGCTTATAAAGAATATAGTATACATAATGTTCTCCTCAGTTTCTCCTTTGCTTCTTCACAGATTATATCAGGAGACTATAATATACATAATAGAGGGGTTTAGAGAAGCTTCAGGTCACATATAAAAGATACAGAGGCAATTCTGGAACTGTAGTCTGATTACTATTACCTTAGCCTTTGTCTTTTTCATACACTGATATTCTTGTTGTTTCCTAGATACAGACATGTCATAAAATAATATATTCAAAAAATATATCTCAAAAAATAATACATAAAAATATATACTAAATGGTATAAACCTTTTCTGTGAAGATATGAAGCCTATTTATTGGCTCCAAGATCAGAATTCCTGGTCTAATTCTCTGAAACCTGACTCCCCTGTTTCTTTTTCTTTTCCTCTTTTAAATTGAAGTGGAATTAATATATAGTGCCATATAAGTTTCAGACAACAATATAATGATTAAACAATTCTATACATTACTTAGTGCTCATCAAGATAAGTGTACTCTAAATCCTACTTATCCACTGTATTTCTTATACTTTCTATTCTCCTATCTGAGTCTGCTCCTTGGCCCTGTCCAGCTTTATTGCCTTCAGCTCTGCTAGGACTCCTTGTTTCTGACTTTACCCAGAAACTCAAGCTTCTCTGCATCTCATACCATTCAGAATCTTCCATAACCTAACACTTGTGGGGCCCACTTTTCTCCTAATCACAGTCCTATCTCATAACTCCCCAGACTAAGATCTTTGTTTTCAAAGAATAGATTGGGGGAAATTCATGTCTTTATAGTCTAATGTTGTGGTTCTCAATCTTGGCTCTATAGCCCAATTACTTGGGGAGTTAAAAAACATAAAACAAAACACTAATGTATAGGTTCTAGGGATTCTAATTTATTTGAGGGATGGCTTGAGCATTGAGATTTCTAAAAGCTCCCTGCATGATTCTAACATGTAGTCAAGGTGAGAACCATTGGTCTAATAGCTTAAATGAAAAGTAATCAATTAAGAGTTGCATGTAAGCAAAAATGCAACTCAATGTGGGATTTAGTTTATGAGGAAAAATTGAAAATGTCCAATTTACCTGTTTTAAAATTATGACAGGAGAACAAAACATTTAAAAAAAGTAACATTTGTTTAGAACCTATTCTGTGATGGGTACTGCACATACTGTTTCATTTCATCCTTTGTCAATCCTGTGAAGTAGCCCTATTTTCATTTTACACCTGAGGAATCTGAGATACAATTGGGTAAATGACTTCAAACATATCTCCTTCTAAGGATAAACAAATCTATGTTTATCCTTCTATGTGACACTGCCTCTCAATTAACAATTAGCAAATATTGAGAAAAAATATATACTCATTACCATATAAAGCACTGAGATGGATACTGCAGAATAAAATATAATCTTTTGTCTTAAGGAGGCTAATTCAGTTAAGGAGCTATAATTAATGCAATTGTCAATGAACAGTGAAATCTGTGAGAAATCACAGGAAGGGGAGAATGTCAGAGGGATGAATGTCAAGGGGAGAATAGCTAGAGTAGTGAGGGAAGTTATGATGGATCTTGGAGGACAAGAAGAATTTGAATCATAAGGAAGGTAGAAAAGGGCATTCCAGGGGATGAAAACAGTATCAGATATGGCAGAGATAGAAATGAGTATGATATGTTGATTTCAAATAATCTGTTCAACAA